GGCAAACAAAGGGATAGATAAATAGACAGATAAATGTATGGATAGATAGATAACGGGTTTATCGATAGATTGATAGATGAAGAGAGAGAGGTAGGCAGATGGGTAGGTAGATAGATATAGTGATGAATGGATAGATATACGCAGATAGATGCGTAGATTAACTGAGGGACATGTGAATAGACAAATAAAGGACTAAATGAATAGGCAGATAAATATATGGATAGATAGATAGATAAAGAGAGAGAGAATGGATATATACATCCTATATACACAGCAGAAAGACACATCTGTATATACGTGAGTATGTACGTATATTTCTATGCACCTGTATATGTATATATACACATGGCTATGCATACATATATATATATAATCTATAGAGTCACATAGAAAATGAAGCTAAAATTTGCAATCTTTAAAGAGAAAAATACATGTTGCGTTATACATATGACTTACAATTCATTTGCGGTTAAAAGTTATGATAAGAAAAAGAAATATAAAACTTACCTGGATCGCAATCTGCATTTGAAGGTTGTGGACACAAAATGCCTGAAAGAAATACATATAGAAAAATTACGTTTAAAAGATGTGTATATGCATACATGAACACACACACACGCACATACACACACACACCCTACCATATATATGTATATATTTATATATATATATATATATATATATTTTTTTATATATATATATATATTTTTTTTTTTTTTTTTTTTTTTTTTTTTTTTTTTTTTTTTATTCATTTATTTTTATTCCATTGCAGGACACAGGCCTCTCTCAATTCACTATTGAGAGGTTATCTGGCAGTGCCATCCTTGCCTATCGGATGCCCTTCCTATACATATATGTGTGTGTGTGTGTGTGTGTGTGTGTGTGATAGGTATAGATATAAATATAGATAGAAAAATAAAAAGATAGATAGAATGATCAATGAATGTATAAATATAGATATACGCACATAAACATAGATAGAGATATAATGATAAATAGATATAAATCAATATACGGCTTCTGATAATCCATTCAAGTGAACTGAGACAAATGCTAATCAATCCCCATAACTTCCAATGCACACTAAGAAATACAAACAAAATACTTACAGTTACTAACAATGATAACAATATAATACTTACAAATTTATTATAAAGTAATACAAACAAATTTATTATAAAGTAATACAAACAAATTTATTATAAAGTAATACAAACAAATTTATTATAAAGTAATACAAACAAAAATGAAAATACAGACAAAAATAAAAATACAAACTAATGAAAATGATACAAACAAAATAAAACAAATAAATACTTACAGATTATAAAAAAAAAACCCAGCCAGTCCCAGTAATGACCAACAATAACCGATAGATATTAGAAAAAAAAAAATTTTCACCAAAGATATTAACAAACTTCATGAATTCCAGTAAATGATAGTAAACGAATATTGGTCAATTCCCATAAATTTCCTATAACTGCAATGAAAACAACAACAACTACAAACAGATTATTAAAAATATATAGATTACAAAAAAGGAAGAAAAAAACCTACATAGATTACTAAAAGAGGGAAAAAACTACATATAGATTACTAAAAAAATGATAAACGTAAGCACAGTGATAAAAAAAAAATGCTTTTTAGGTTTTTGAGAATATCCTTAGATAAATGAATATATAATTGGAGGTATATCTAACAGGCTTACGAATTAAGGAATATAAAAAAATGATTAAAGATTTTGAAAAGACACTCACATTTACTTACACTTACTTACACTCACTTACACTTACTTACACTTACACTTACTCACACTTACTTACACTTACACTTACTTACACTTACTCACACTTACACTTACACTTACTTACACTTACTTACACTTACTCACACTTACTTACACCTACTTATATTTACATGAATCTGCTCTTTTTTCTGTCTATTCTGAAGTATTTATTTCCTTAATAATATATTCTTAACTCGATATTTTTTTCAGAGAGATTGTGATAGAGATAGATAGATGAATAGATGATGAATAGATAGATAGATAGGTAGAGAGGAGGGAGGGAAATAGAGAGAGAAATAGATAGATAGATACCTACATAAATAGACAGACAGATATATTGATAGATAGAGATAGATTGATAGATAGATAAATAGATATATAAATGGATAGATAGATAGAGAGAGAGAGAGAGATAGAGAGTCAGAGAGAACTAGATAAGATAGAAAGAAAGACAAATAGAGAGAAAGAGAAAGAGAAAGAAAGGGAAGGAGAGAGAGACAAAGAGAGAAAGAGAAGAAGACAAAGAAAAATGAAAGAGATAAGTAAACAAACAAACAAACACAAACAAACAAACAAACGAATTATCCCAATAACTCACCGCCTGCAAGCAAACACAAGAAACTCGCAGTCACCATCCTTTGCTTGCGGAGTGCATGGCGAAAGCAGTGCATGGCGGCTGTTCTCTGTGCTGTCTCTTGGGGTATGTTAGGGGGGGTTGGGGGGAGGGGGTCCTGTAAGATGATAAGTGTCGTTATTGTTATTTTTTCTCATATTGTTTGTTTGACTTTTTATTATTATTATTATTATTATTATTGTTATTATTGTTATTATTATTATTATTATTATTATTATCATTATTATTATCATTATCATTATTATTATCATTATCATTATCATTATCATTATTATTATTATCTTTATTATCATTATTATTATCATTATCATTATTATTATTATCATTATTAATATTATTATTATCTTTATTATCATTATTATTATCATTATCATTATCATTATTATTAATATTATTATTATTATTATTATCTTTTTTATCATTATTATCACTAATATCATTATTATCATTATTATTATTATTATCATAATTATTATTATTAGTAGTAGTATTAGTATTATCATTATTATTATTATTATTGTCATTATCATTATCATTATTATTATCATTATTATTACTATTATTATTATTATCATTATTATTATTATTATTATTGTTATTATTATCCTTATCATTATTATTATTATTATTATTATTATTATTATTATTATCATTATTTTATGTCTCTTCAAATGTTTATTTTTATTTATTTCATTTAATCATTTATTTTTATTTTATTATTATTGTCTTCATCTTATTCATTCTTCTTTTATTTTTATTTTTTATTATTATTTTCATGTTATTCTTTATTTTTATTTATTTATGTTCTCATTCATGTTGTTTATCTGTTATTCCTGTTATCGATTTTTTTTTTTTTTTTAGCATTGTTGTTATTTGTTATCTTTGTTTTTTGTTTTGTTGTTGATTATATTGTCATTATTATTATCACTTCATATTCTTATTCTTATATCAAATCATTTCTATTTATCACTATTCTTTGTTATTCCTATATCCCCTTGGTGCCGGGTATGACGTGTATGTACGTGCTATGCCCACAGTGAGTACTTGTTTGATTGTTTTTACGCATAGATGGCAACTCTTGCACTAACTCCCCAATGAGCCAACTACGAGCACCGCCCGTCTCGCCCGTTTACCCGTTTCTTTGATTTATAAAATATTTTACGTAATCTTATTTTGCTGTTACTAATGTTAATAAAGATTATAAAAATTATAATGTTTATGATAAAAATAACACCATCGATTTTCATAGCAGTAGTGAAAAATACGTTTTTTCCCGCCATTTAAATCAGGCGCTAGCAGAGCCATCTTTCGGCAGACATTTCATGAAAAACATAGAAAGTGGGCACAATATTTTCCCCATTTTTTGTTAATTTTCCCCGGCACCATTGGGATATTTGCTATTTTCGTTTTTTTCATTATGGTTATTATTACTATTTGTTGTTCTTGTTCTTTTTTATCCTATGTTCTTGTTATTATTATTATTTTTTGTTTGTTTGTTTATAATCACTTTATCACTTATAATTGTCATTCTCGCAAATTGTTATTACTACTGTAGTTATCACTGTGACCATTACTACTAATAGTCTAATACTAATATTGCAAATATTATCGTTATTATCTCTATATTCCTCGTCCTCACTATCAAGGGCAATCAGTCATCATCGTCCTCACTATCAAAGTCAGTTAGTCATCATCTTCATCACTATCAAAGTCAGTCAGTTATCATCGTCATCACTATCAAAGTCAGTCAGTCATCATCGTCATCACTATCAAAGTCAGTCAGTCATCATCGTCATCACTATCAAAGTCAGTCAGTCATCATCGTCCTCACTATCAAAGTCAGTCAGTCATCATCGTCATCACTATCAAAGTCAGTCAGTCATCATCGTCCTCACTATCAAGTCAGGTCATCATCGTCATCACTATCAAAGTCAGTCAGTTATCATCGTCATCACTATCAAAGTCAGTCAGTCATTCATTATTGGTTTAACTACAAAGTCAGTAGTCATCATCGTCATCACCATCAAAGTCAGTCAGTCATCATCGTCATCACTATCAAAGTCAGTCAGTCATCATCGTCATCACTATCAAAGTCAGTCATCATCGTCATCACTATCAAAGTCAGTCAGTCATCATCGTCCTCACTATCAAAGTCAGTCAGTCATCATCGTCGTCACTATCAAAGTCAGTCAGTCATCATCTTCATCACTATCAAAGTCAGTCAGTCATCATCGTCATCACTATCAAAGTCAGTCAGTCATCATCGTCATCACTATCAAAGTCAGTCAGTTATCATCGTCATCACTATCAAAGTCAGTTAGTCATCATAGTCATCACCATCAAAGTCAGTCAGTCATCATCGTCATCACTATCAAAGTCAGTCAGTCATCATCGTCATCACTATCAAAGTCAGTCAGTCATCATCGTCATCACTATCAAAGTCAGTCAGTCATCACCGTCATCACTATCAACGACTGATATCATCATCAAATTTTTCATTATAATTATCATGGTCATTGCTATGATCATTACAATTAGTGGCGCCATTATTATTAAAGAGATAGATAGATGGGGATATAT